GTGAAGGCGGCTCCGTCGCCCCTCACCTGACTGCGGACGATGCCGGGGTGACGATTACCATCACTGATAATGGCCCCGGTATTGACACCGATCGGCAACTCGAACTGTTTGAGCCGTTTGCGCGCCTAGGAGCCGAGAATACACATGTAGAAGGACATGGGATAGGATTGGCTCTCTGCCGCAAGCTGATGGAGCTGATGGACGGCGATATCGGGGTCCGAAGTATTCAAGGCGAAGGCAGCAGCTTTTGGATACGCCTCAATCTTGCGCCAGCACCACCTATGCAAACTGCAGCACCATCAGCAGAGCTCGACACGTCGCAGCGCCTTTGTCTGCTGCATGTTGAGGACAACTACGCCATTCGTGAGTTGATCAAAAACTTCGTCGAGATGCATCCTGGGATTGAGTTGCTCCAGGCAGAGAACGGCACGACCGGAATAGAGCTCGCAAAGCAGCGCATCCCCGGTATGATACTCCTCGACATGAACTTGCCAGACATGAACGGTCTGAAATTTATTGAGCTTTTGCGGGATTTGCCGCCATTGCGCTCGGTGCCTGTCACCATTGCCAGCGCTTCGACTGCGCGCGAGCAGATTGAACTCGCTAAGGCAGCTGGAGTAAACTCATTTTTGCCCAAGCCACTTAACCTGCAACATCTCAGCGAAGCTTTTACCGCTGCTACGCAGCGAGAGTGCCATCGAACCGCCTAATGAACCCCATCTCGATAGACTACCTAAGGTCCAGGCTAAGCTACGAAAATCATTGCTCAGACACTTCGCTTCCTAAACACAGGGATCGAGCGTGGTATTAACTTTCGTTAAATGCCCGGATATATGCAAGTCATTGATTGTGCAGAATTTTAATGTGCTAACTGTGATGTGAACCAACGCCTTTTGATCAAGTAATCACGGAAGCGTGATTTGTCAGGGTTTACAATCGCCTTACATTTTGATAGATGTCGACGTTGTGGGTGAAACTACGTTCGCATTGCGGCAATTTCGCCTCTGTATGACACTCAAAGTGTCGACGCTTTCAGATCGAGTGCGAGCCGCGCTTGTATCGGGCCGCCGTTCCTTAACTGGTTCGGCGGCCTTTCTCTTAAGATCGCTTTGCTTGTTTTTAAATGCTGGTGCCGCTCGCTCTCCGGGTAACGTCGTTGTCAGCCTTCGGTGACTTTATGAAAACATGGTCTTTAGGGACATTAGCCCTTTTTCTTACTATCGTTAGCCTCGCTGCGCTGACCCGGTATTTCCTCACGGAGACAGAGTCTCGCCTACAGATCTTCATTTTTGCGAGCTTAGCCGCTTTCGTCGAGTGGATTGTGAAGCCATCTCTCGGAATGAGGCCGCAGTTGCCTATAGCATTCCTTACTGGAGTATGCTCGGCGGCTGCAATTGTTCTCGTGCGTTGGCACCTTGAAGGGTTATGTCCTCATACTTGGCCGCAATGCCCTGATCCAATCTATGCGGTCAGGAAATCATGGGGAATATGATCGTGGAATGCACTTCAAGAGGCAGATTCTCGTAAGGACAGTCTCATCCTCACGACGGATTGCTGCTACCATCAGATAAAGTTGCGTAATAAAATTGGCTATCACGCCAACGGCACTTGATCTGAGACAGAACCAATGAAAGTACGTAGGAAACGAGAACGGATAATCGGAGGGGCCGCGATCATGAAGCTGTGGAAGAAGTACTTTCGTCGACCTTCTGCCGTCATCCACGCCCCAAAAAGCCCCCTTGAGGAACTTGCCGCTAGCGGAGTCGAAGTTGTGGTTTTCGTGCCTAAAAGCAACTTTGGCACTCCGTGCTTTGAAGCAATGCAGTTGGAAGGTGGGCGCATACCGATTAAGTTAGCTGAGGCCACTCCGCTGCCAGGATGTAATAATACCTCGGGATGCAAATGCGAATATGTAAATGGTACGCATCTTGATAATAATTAAAAATAATCAATTAAAATCTTAGTTCTTTTGAATATTTTTTCAAATTTCAAAAATATTTGAAAATACAAATATCTAAAATATACCATTGTGCATAAAATTATTTAAATAACTTATGCAATTAAGATGAGTATGTTATCGTTATGAGCCTAAGTTTGGTTCCTATGTATATTTAATGCAAAATCATATATTTCTGTATCTAGTTGATTAATTTCTTTTAGAAAATCAATATCTCTAATAGGAATATCTTGGGCCGATCCACCACTTTTGTTATCCCATGGTAGGCTTAATTCTTCTGGGACTTCAAACTTCCTATTGAGACGCTGGAATGACTGATCTGGCTCTTCTGCAATATAAAACCATGACATCAAACTTATTCTTGATTTTACGGTTTCTATCGCATCGTTTGTGATTGATGGAAAAGTCCAGCCTGATGTCAAAATCTGCCGAAAATGAAAGTTATCAATATATAGCCTTAAATCATTTTCATCTATACGAATGAAATCTGAAAAGGAATGCTTGTGCGCCAGCCTTACGACCTCGGCATCTGGCCCACTTAACGTCGCCAAATGGTCAGCGCTAACATTAAACTTCCAGTAGCGGTATAATGAATAAATCCTGTGGCTAGGATCGCGAAAATTAGTTACAAGTTCGTGTCCTGCTCCGATTTGTTTGTAGACGTCATATCCGTAATGACCCGCATAGAAATCATAGCCTGAATACTGCTGAATTGAATACCGGTTATGGCGGTCGTCATCGGGCGCATTGCAGAATACCGGCGCAACGCTCCCTCTACCGATTAGACTTGAAAGCAAAGTCCGCAGCGAGCTGCCACCGGCTTTAGGGTTATGCAAAAAGAAAATGCGGGCAGGGGTGTTTGTTAGATGAACCATAACGGGACATTGAGCTCCAGCGCATACTGGAACTCGAAATGTCATGAAACTAGAGGTTTAGTCAAATTTTGTTATCCTTCGTTAGCGCTCGATTCACCTTATAATAGCATTAACGCCTATTGCCTCGGGAATGACGGTCTCGAGCACATGCGTTAGCGCGGCCTGGTTCAGTGCACGGGCTTGCGCCTCTGTTTCGGCTTCGGTGTAACAACGCAGTTCGGGCGCATTTCCGGAAGGCCGGA